CGACGGTATATCAACCTTCAACTCTAGCTCCCTCAATTTTCTTTGCTATTCTCAAAACGGTATTTCAGACTAATAGAATTTATCAATGCTGATGCACAATGTTTGAGGTTACCATCGCTCAAAAAATATCATGTTTGATTGAGTAACATACAGTACCTTGATATCAACTTCTTCCCAAGGCACAGTTTGTAGTATATCAGCTTCAATGCCCTGCACATCCAGAAACAAAATATCCAATTGTGTCAAACCCGTTGCTCTTAGAATATTGATGAGTGGGTAACAAGTCACGGCCATTTCCGTGGTACTCTCATCTAGGACACGATGAGCCCCTTTCAATGCCGCAGTTCCTTGAATCATGTCGTTGTTTTCCAAGTCACTCATCACCAGGTTTGTCTAAAAGCAAAATAACGTCATTAATAATTATGAACTGGCGATATCCATCCATGTTAGGAATGAACTCAAGATCAGCATTACTCTCATCTTATTTGGTTTTGAGCTGATGCAGGTTAGAAGGCTCGCCACCCTTCTGTGCTTCAACAAAAGACGATGGAACAGCCCCGGTTGAGGTTCCACCAAAACCCCAGTCCATCCATAAACCACTTCAAGGTACAAACTGTTTGAGAGGTATTCTCCATCATGTCCTCCGGCTTCCAAGAACGTTCCATTTCTCTAAACGGAATACTGTAGCTGTGGCTCATCATTTCAGATAGTTCAAAGTTGATACATTAAGAAAACGATCAACTGTAAACTGTAATCATACGCGTGTATTTTTGGATCACAATTCTTGATTCGAAGAACCCGTGAAGAAAATTTTGGTCGAATTAATGAGCCATGAAATATGTAGAAAAATAAACAATTATACAGATGATGATGCATGCATACTGGTTATTCCACCAGGATAATATCTATTCCAATGATGGAAACTCTATATTCCGAGATGTTTGCCCAAAAAGTTGGCAAGATTTAAAAGATTCGTCATCATCAGTGAAGCAAGAAGATGTAAGACTTACGATGCATCTCCGAAACGAAATCATACCCTATGACCCAGCAGCTCTATGATTTTCTTCGGTTGTCCGCCTTGAGATCGATCAGTGACATTGTCCCTTATCCGATATGAACCCTTCTTGCCGTTCCGGTTGTCCTGCAGCAGATTCTCTCTGATTTCTGCCGTCACAGTGTCGTCGACGATGATTTTATTTATTCTAAATTTATAAATTAGCAAATAAGCCGCGAAAACGCAGCATGAAATAATCAGGATTTTGGTGAAAACGCTTCCTTGAAGAGGTGACATTTTCAAGCTGCTAATATTCCTGCTATAACCGAAAAAAAGAAAGAGGTCAAACTGAAAGTTTACGCGACATGATTATTTCATGAAAAACTGGGATAGTAAGAATAGGACATTTTTGAAAGTTTCATAGGGCTTTCACCAGCCAGTACTTCGGGTCCCGATCCGGGTTCAAAATCAAACAACAGTTTTTATAGGCCTATATGGAAATGTCGGAACTCAACTCCCAGACACTTGGAGGATCATTTGATTCGCCTGCCTTATTCCTGGGAATTTTCACCCTTTGTTTCAGGTCTGTATTTGAGAGACAACCTTCTTCTCAGTTCCCACATTTTTAAAAATCTGTGACTATGTTCCTTTGGCAAGCCGCGAAAACATTCTCTTATGATTTTTCCATTGCAAAATGGCAAAATACCTATGAAAACATTGATTCTATCCATAACACCAATGAAGGAGGAAAATTGATTATTTTAATAGGAAGAGAGAATTTCTGTGGAGTCCTTCTGGAAGAAAAACGGATTCCCAGTCACTTGTGCATAACTTTCTTAAATTTCTTGTCTGTTTGGAAAGCAAAAGTCACTTTCAGCATGGTTTGATCGAAATTTGATCCTGGTGAGAGGCTAAGTGAAGCTCTTTCATTATTGCCGACCAGTTCCTTTTTTTTTTTACCTGAATTTTGCTTCGCACTTCACTTTGGAGTACATTCGAACCTTACTGATAAATCTATATTAGCAGGATGTTTATTTTATTTTAATCTTTAAGCCATATTTTATGCATATCCTGAAAAAGAAATGGAGTCTTTGACAAGAGAATTAACTTTTATAATGCCATCCAAGGCGCAATAAGACGTTGAGTTGAGATGATATAGCAGCGGATTAATCCTCTTCTAAATGCACATATGACACCGTTTTTCAAGAGTTTGGAATGCGCAAAGTATTCCAATACACGAGACCAGGTTTCCTCACTAAATTGCCGCATTCCAGATTTCCTTAAATCCCAACATTACATTGAGGCATGAAAGCAACCTCTTCTGGATTCCTCCAAAACTGACTTTACACTCGGGAGTCGGTGCACAAAACCAAAGTAATACAAGAAGCATTCTTGAAATACTTGGGTTATCGAAATCGAAGCATTTCGATAACTGCGCACTGGAAACTATTTTCCCAACTTTTTTGACTGAGAAATGCGGACGAATCCGGGCACGATTCAAAGATAAAAAGCTTTATCTCATCTGGGTAAACTGATAATGCCAGAGCATTAGTTTGTGCAGGGCCTGATTAAACCACATTTTGGACTGATGCTGCACAAAAAATGGGCCTAATTCTCCTTTGCAATAAAAAAGCATAATTTTTTGAAGACCAGCAAGAAATCACTTCAGAAAAATGTTGAGGCCACCACAGGCTTTTTGAGTGGGAACAGCAGTGACAAATTTTATCCTGTCAGGCAGCCCAGCATGGTTGGAATTGAAATCTTTGATTGAATTTTCTCCTGGCTATGATTCCTTGTCAATGCATCTTCCTGTTTCTGGCCATATTGGACATGATTTCCTTTTCCTATGCAAAATGATTGTGGCCTCTCAACTGATTTTCATCTCCTGCATCTGGTTTCCTCTTCAATGGTTTTTATATGTGCAAGGTGCTGAAATTGATTTCTTGGTGCCTGATTTTTTTCATCATGAAAACTTTTGCCTCTTTCCTGCTTTTGCCAGAGTTTCATTATTGAAAAAAATTTGGATTTCCCAAATTGAGAAATTTTTTCAAATTCTCCAGGGGCCTATTTTTCCTGTGGGCCTAATGCTGCAGCATCAATAGCACCAGCCTTAATCCAGCCCTGAGTTCGTGGCAGTTGAGAAATAAGAATACTGCGTTTCCTTTTCACAATTATGACTAGGAGAAAGAGAAAATCTATTCATGTATACATGAGGGCGTATTTTCAAATACCATGTTTTTCCATTCTCAAAAAATACCATGTTATCCTACAAACAAGTTCAACACTTTAGACTCAGTTTCTTTTATGGTTATGTCTTCCTTCTCTAGATACAAAAAATAATAGCACAAGAGGTTTCCCACAAAATTCTCTTTCTTCTTGTTTTGGTTTGCCAACTTTTGCGCTGTCCCCCATTAATGTGCAAGACCTATTTTCTCTGAGAATATGCTCCTATACTATTCTCCTGCTGGCAGTGACAGATGTGAATTACTGTTTACTGGAGCCTAGTTCTCTTCAATAATATACTTTGTGCTGGTTCCCAAGAACTCAGCATCTTAAACATCAAGACCCAGATATGCTTTCTAGCTCTGAAATTATTTCATGAGCTAATTCCCCAAATGTATATATATTACTGGAATTCCTATTATTCTGCAGAATACTTCCTGAGAGAATTGACTTGACAACTCTCGTGATTGTTGTTCTCAAGAAGACTTGCATTGTTTTAGCAAGACTTCTTTAACTTAGTTTATCTTGACTGTATTGCATGTATTGTATGTGTGTTGTGATTATATCAAAACCAAAGAATATATTTAGTCATAAATATTTTATATATATATTTGGAGTATATTCATTTCATTGCGACCAACCAAATAATTAAGCAGTTAAGATAACAAAAATTGGCGCAGCCGGTAGTTTTAACTTTTATGTTATGTGACTTTCTTTTTGGGAGGGGTGAGTCCCTACCCTTGTGTGAAATTGAACAAATTGACTTAGTGAAATCAATTCCAAACCATGAGAGCAAGTACTTTGCGAAGTCTCCTCTCCGCAAACATATGAAAAATGACCATTATTCACAACCAAATTTGTTCAAGACAAATATAACAAAAACAGACAAGTCTTAAGAGAATCTTGTTGAACGTACACAAGGTTCTCTGAGAAGTAACCGCCGTTGACACAGGAATAAATCTGAGGAAAATATCATTCCTCAGCAATATATATACTTTTCAAGTATACAGGTCAACAACGAGGAATGCGGATCAAGAACAAAGTATTCCCCGTAATATTCATGAGGGGCGCAGACCTCATGAGGCGAAATATCCGCGAACATGATACACAACAATATTATATATATGCAAATCCGCGCAGACCTCATGAGGTGAAATATCCTCAAACATGATACACAACAATATTATATATATGCAAATCCGTTATATCATATATACATCTGAAATTCGTATTTCAGAGGAGTGGAGATGCGGATATGTGCGTGAATAACATTTGTCACTGTCAAGAGTGAGGGGGAGTTTTATTAGTTAAAGAGGACAAAAGCGCGTCACGCTGTTTTAACCTGGGGTGACATGTGATACTCGTCATGACACTGGGGACATCAAACTCCAGAACTATCACCTGAACAAAGAGCAAAAGTACCAATGAGACAATTCAATCCAGTAAAAGCATAATGCACTGTATTAAGAAATCAATCAAATTTCATATGAAGCTAAAAATCAAAGAAATTGCGCATATATTGTGGGGGACAGGTGTCCCTAGCTAGCCTCCCCTTCTCACCTTAGCCACGCTGGAATTCCAGCATCGTCCATTTTCCGATTCATCGGTCAGTCAGTCCCAAGTTGCCTTGCATAGTGTAAACATCAATTGCAATTACTGTATCAGTGTTTTATCCGAAATATATTTATTCTCTTTTCCTTTTGGAGTCCTTATCAAAGGGCTCCCTGCCTGTGTTTCATTTGCTCAATTTTTTTATTTTTTGTCAGTTTTCATTTTCTTTGTGGCTAGTGCGCCATATACATTGTCATGGATTTCAGAAAATTAGAATCTGTCAAAGAAAACAGTGGTAGCTCAATTGCACAAAAGGAGGGGAAAATGTGTGATGTCCAAGTTCACTGTAAAGGTGCGTACAATTCATGCAAGAAATAATAAAATTAAATCTTTGACTAGCTATGGTAATTCGTCAGTCTGGGAATGTATTTCTGTGAATATTTTTTGGAGATAAGCAAGTGTTGATGTGAAGGCAAATCCGTTAGCTGAGAAAATAAAATGTACTGTACAGTAGTTCAAAGGCCCTTATGTTATGTCACCTCATCGTGGTTGAATTTCTTTGATACAGTTTTTGAGAATGCTGCATTCAGTATTTCATCAATGCTGATGATTATATTTTGAAGTTACAATCCTTCAAATTTTTTTATTTGATTGGTTTACTACCTATAGTGAGCACAAAGTTCTCCAGATATGATCCAAAAGACATCTGTCTTGTCAGGTTGCAAACCAGCGCCAGGCTGAGGTGCGGTGTGGCGTCGGCAGGATGGAGTCCTGCCTGTGCCACAGCTTGCTTGGCGGGACGCGCTGCGCCCAAAAGGAAAGCGCACATTGCGGAACGTGCTATGCTGTTACCCAAAGCAACTTCTTGGCCCTGGAGGGGCTACTTTGGCAGAGTGGAAAACCTGCCTGGAGGGATTTAGCATGGTCAACTAGGTAGCCCTTGGCTCAATCCCAGGGTTATTCTGGCCTGTAAAAAAGGGCTGTGCATTATGCACAGCCAATCAGTCTTCTATCAATTGTGAATGAGTCTCTTAGTCAATCTGAAGTCAGTCCTCTCCTATCCTGTTGTCTCTGTGGTGATTTTTGGTGATGCTGATGGGAATCCAAGGGACTTGTGATGAGCCTGGGATGCCTAGGCACAAACCTCCTCTGAATAAGAGATGCGTGTTTGTGTATGGCTCCCACGCTGAGGGCCAAAATCCATGGCTGAGCTAATTCTCAACTTTTCCTTTAACCCTTTGTCAGTTACTGGCTGGACATGTCTGTCCAAATATGATCCAAAAGATGTCTGTCTCTCTGAATATGATCCAAAAGATGTCTGTCTCTCCAAATATGATCCAAAAGATGTCAAACTTGTCAGCATGACAAGTTTCCTGCCAGGTTTTTCTGGCAACCATGTTTATTGGCAGGCAACCAAGACCAAGGCAAGATACTGTAATGTACTTTAGCACTACTTTTAGGAAATTTATCATGCTAGAGTAAATTCCCCAATCTTTTTGTGTCAACAACAGACTGGAAAATTTTCTAAAAAAATCCTGCTGATGGGCAAAGTTTCAAAAAAAGTTTGCAGACTCAAAAAATGTTTGCTGGTATGACTTATTACAGGTATTTAAAATGTTCTGCTTGATTGCAGAAATTAGTAGAGAACCAATGAAGCAGCCATAGTGGAATGTCTTTAGAAACTCAGAAGGGGGAATTGAAGAAAAGTTTCTCAGAATGAAAAATTAAAATAAATTATTTAATCAGGTGAAAATTTTCCTGAAGTGTTCTTAGGAAAAAGCAAGCATCTATTCTTCATGAGATAATTTTAACTGTCATTGCCTTGCCAAAGTTTCAGATGAAGATATTGTAATGTACTTTAGCACCACTTTCAAGAATTTCATCATGCTGGGGTAAATTCCCTTTGACCAGCAAAAATCTTCCATGGACCACCACCAGTCCACAGGTTGGGGAACACTGATATAGATGATGCTTGTATCACTTCATAGAATTAAGCAGGTTGTTCCAACATGCATATGCTCCATGATGGACACTTCAGATTCAGGGATGGTAGCCAAAAGAACTTGGTAATGGCTGAAAGTTTCTTCATAATCAGTGAAGGAATTAGATTTGATAGGCTAACTTACCATGAGTGTTCCAAACCAAATCATACCTTATTCCAAGTAGCTCTAAAATTCATTTGGGTTGTCTGCCTTGAAATCAATCAGTGACATTGTCCTTTATCTGATATGTACCCATTTAGCTGTCTTGATTGTCCTGCAGCAGATTTTCCATGATTGCCAGTGTCAATGTGTCAACACTGATTTCATATGTTTGAAAGTTATAAATTAGTAGATAAGCTGCAAAAATGCAGAAAGCACCGTCCTTGCAAAACACAACCTTGAAAACATTGCCTCAAATTTCAGGCCCAAAATAAACCCACTGGGCACCCAGGAAATACCAAACAGATGGTGTCAACTGGGAAGGTCAAATAGCTCAATAATACAAAAATTTAAACTAAAATACATGAATTGAGTATTGGCACTGAAGTTATGCAAAAGCAAACTTCAAATACTTGCAAGTGACCAATACACACGAAAATAGAGATAGGGAAAATAAGGCAGTCAAAACCTAATATTTGAAGGACATTTTGTTCACAAAAAATTTGAATTTTTGATCTCACTGTCCATGACATGCTCTGGGACAGGCTCCACCGCAGGCGCTGTGACAATGTCCTGTGACACGGTCTGCCACAAGGTCCGCGACACATCATGGGATGTTGTCTTGGGACATTGTCCCGGGACAACGTCCAAGACACATCCCGGGATGTCATCCCAGAACAGGCTCCATGGCAGAACAGCAGCCTTTGATGTCAGGATCCACAAAAGGACTGTCACAGGGATCCACAAGTATTCATAGGGATCTTTGGGATCTGCAAGAATCTAAAAAAATGAATTTTGATTTCTTACTTCAAAAATGGGGTCTTAGGACCTGGATAATAACTGCCTGCCCATCAAACAATTTCAAATACAAATTATACAGTCTCTGAGGACATTGTGGGGAATACTTAGCTGTGGAGTGCGGTCTGTGCTAATTTATAAACAAAAGTTCCTCTTCACAGTAAATGGAAGATGAAATCTCATAGCAGTTTCCAACAACCAAAGACTGAAAGTTTCCAAGACAGAATTGAAAGAGATTACACCAATGTCAATAGCACAAAGAAATTCAGGATAATGCAAGGGGAAGATGAATTTCATGAAAAGAGAGGGGGGAAAACAAGGGGAGAACTTTTGCAGCAAATTAGGCATTAGCCATGAGTGAGGGAGTTCATTCTTTCCAGAAATGTCTTGGCTCAAGAATCATGGTGCAATCCTGGAACTCTGAAATACACTCAGGTAAACATATACAGGGTGGACCAAAAAAATTGAACAGGTTTTTTTTTACTTGAAATAGCTCAGTAGAAAATCAAGCTGCAAAAAAAAAACATTAATTGAAAGCCTGTTCAATTCCCTTTGAAAGTTTTCTTGTCTAACCCTTAAACAGCAGAGGGTTCCTGGCCATCCTGCGGCAAATTCGGAATTTTTTGCTGGACATTTCATTTTAGCTCGACCCAAATTCACTGAAATGCACCCTGGTTGGGAAAACCTAAGTTGGGGAAAAATTGGGAAGGGTGAAACCTTTTGCATTCCAAAATCTCTAATGCTAGTCCTATGCAAGGAATTCTTGAAAAACCACATAATCAGAATTTTCTTTAGGCAATTTTTGTTTTGCAGGATTGTAAGAAACATTTCAAAATTTTCTAAACTTAGGGCTTTGGTACAAAAACTGCCTAATTTAAATTGTCATTGCTAATGTGCACAAAATTTGAGAAAATGCCCTGACTTTGCTGCAAAACATTTCAATGAAAACTGCCCCCCCCCCCCCAAAAAAAGTTGTGAAGCAACTCCTCCCACTAAGCTGCAGTTCTCCACCGCTTTTGTTGAGGGATGAATGTTGTGCAGGTTCAGTAGTTTAACTGGCATACTTCATGATGCCTTCAATCAGGTGTACACATTTCAAATGTGTGGGAGTTAGGGGGTGAGAATGAATGAATAAGCAGAAAGCTTTTTTCTGCTTTTCAGCATTCACAAGGTTGAATCAACATTCCCACATCCAAACCCCTTCCCAACCAAGGTACTGAAATTCATTCAAACACATTCAATCACTCCAGAATGGGAAACAGAGAAAAAAGTTGTAAATGGTTACCAAAATGGAAGAAAATACATTCCACAATTTACAAGAGATGTACAAAGGGTGAGAAGTTGAAAAAAAATAGAGCAGTGGGATATTGATCCTCTCCCAAATAATCACTAATAATGCAAGATTTGCTGGGTGAAAGCCTCATGGCTCCTTTAACCTCCTTCATCCACACTTCTTTAGTGTGACTTCATTCCTTGAGAATCACAATAGTCAGCCATCCCTTTTTTTGAAAATTGGCTCATTTTCAATAAGTTGTTTTAGGAGAAATACAAATGACAGCCACTTTTGAATAAATTTCTGCACTTTTTGTCTGTTTGAATTTATAAGTGCCTCTTATGGTTGGGGCTTGGTATCGAATCTTACCCGGTTGGTGACGATAGTGCCTAAGTAACCTGCCATGATACTAGGGGCCTGTGCTTTTATTTTCACCTGACTTTTCCCTCACACTTCACTTTGAAGTATAGATTCTCCGATGAACAATCTCAATCACAAGCAACAATTGTACAACATTTTTCAAAAGAGTGGGAACGTACTACTGTGTAATGAAAACAGATTATGGTGATTAGTCCTTGGAGTTTGATACCTAGAATGATTTTCGTGAAATACCTTTGTTTCCAAGTGTCAATCTGAAGATATTGACCAGGATGCCGCCACCCGCAGAAGATGATTGCCAGTCATCAGGGGTTTTTGTTGCGCAGTACAGAATGAAAAAATTACTGAATTTTTTCACTCATTGTACTCGGACTAGGAAAACAACTCGCGATGAACACGTCATTGATAATACAGTAGTGCTACCAAAGAATGTGCAATCTGACGATGAGCTGATGTAGCAGCGGATTACTAACTTTGTAAATACGCAATCAAAACCGATTTTCAAGTGTTCCGAATGCGCTTAATATGACAAGAAAAGAAGGCGAAATTTTCTTACACAGTTTCTTCACATATAATTAAGAGGCGTCAATTTTAGATTTGCGGTCAAGAGAAGCAAAGCAGCAGTCAACTTTTTTGGCCGCAACAATGCTTTGCATTGAAATAACAAAAAAGGAGGCATGCTGCCAATCATTGAATTTTTTTTTAAATAATCTGTGAGCGCATCCAGACACACCAGTGCACCAAAATTTCAAGGGTACGTACATCACCACAAATATTTCAAATCAAAATAACGCTCGTTATTTTTCCATCCTCTTCGTAAGTGGAACCACAATCATTTCATGTAAATATAATCACTTTTAACCTGGGTCACGAGTCGGTATCCGAGGGGCTCAAGCAAATCCATGACCAGTTTCTTGTCCCTTTCCATGAAACGTGGGACATCAAACTCGAGAACTATCACCTGAAAATAAAATACAAAAACGGTGATGTGGAGAGAATTTGATGGAGCACAACCAATGTTCAGAAAATTTTTGAAGCCTATCTGAATTAATTCATTCAAACTTATGTAGTCCGAAGTCCAAAAAGTTACCACTTGAAAACATGGTCAGCGCAATCGCAAAAAAGGAGGAAATACATTTGTGATGGCAACGTATTCTATAGAGGTATCATCCTTGATTCGTGCAAGAGAGAATTCGATTAATTCTTTGACTTCCTATGCTAATCATGGTGATCTGTCAGTCACAAAGGCGATTGAAAGTTTCGAAGGACTCTTTTTCACAAAGTTTAAGATCTTCTCGCTGATCCTGTTCTATAGTAAAAACTGCAAGCGCTAGAAACTTTTATTTCAAGGATTTTTTTCTTGAACTGCGTAGAAATTGAAATAGAAATCACAAATTTTTGAATCTCCTGATTTGTGAAAGATATCTGATAATCTCTAGAATTCTGGATGGATGCTCACTTGAGTGATATATGACTCCAGTGAGCACATATCGATTTGTTCCATCAAGTTTTTCGACAATGTATCCCCTGATAAAACTCCAAAATTTTGGACGAAAATGAAATTTCCTTCAAATTATTGGAAAAATTTAAGGAACATCATCTTGCACCTCAGGTACATATTACAAAGCATTTCCACTGGGTTGGTGCCGAAAATTAATTCCAGTTCATTTTTTCTTTGAAATTGTACCCACAGCATATACCCCACACTTATTTTCTTCCCTTAATTTTGAGAAAAAGATTGCAATGGTTCTCTTGTAAACTGTGGATTTATCGCGTCTGTATATGGTCAGAAACATTTTCCTATTTTGACCTTTCATCTCTCCTAGGGTTTCAGAACGAATTCGAAGTTGACAAGCCAGAAAGGATTTATATATTCTTTTTCGTACGTCTTTGTATTTTGTAGCTGAAATCGATGTTCACCTTGAGATTGATTAATTTAACCGATGATCAGAATTTTGTTTGAGTCGAGGGTTTTGGATTGCTTACTGATGCATAGATGACGAAGATGTTGTGATTTTTTACATTTTAGTGAGCATGTTCGGAGAAAATACATTTAGCAGTTTTGATGCAAAAGGAAATCCGTACGTGTAGAAAGTGAAGCATACAGGAATTCTACGACGGTATATCAACCTTCAACTCTAGCTCCCTCAATTTTCTTTGCTATTCTCAAAACGGTATTTCAGACTAATAGAATTTATCAATGCTGATGCACAATGTTTGAGGTTACCATCGCTCAAAAAATCTCATGTTTGATTGAGTAACATACAGTACCTTGATATCAACTTCTTCCCAAGGCACAGTTTGCAGTATATCAGCTTCAATGCCCTGAACATCCAGAAACAAAACATCCAATTGTGTCAAACCCGTTGCTCTTAGAATATTGATGAGTGGGTAACAAGTTACGGCCATTTCCGTGGTACTCTCATCTAGGACACGATGAGCCCCTTTCAATGCCGCAGTTCCTTGAATCATGTCGTTGTTTTCCAAGTCACTCATCACCAGGTTTGTCTAAAAGCAAAATAACGTCCTTAATAAACTGGCGATATCCATCCATGTTAGGAATGAACTCAAGATCAGCATTACTCTCATCTTATTTGGTTTAGAGCTGATGCAGGTTAGAAGGCTCGCCACCCTTCTGTGCTTCAACAAAAGACGATGGAACAGCCCCGGTTGAGGTTCCACCAAGACCCCAGTCCAACCATATGCCACTTCAAGGTACAAACTGTTTG